TCTCTCTCTCTCTCTCTCTCTCTCTCTCAATCTTACACACACACACACGTACACACATCGGAACGAGGACGTCGGCTTAGTGGCAATCAAACACAAAATCGAAAGAAAAACTAACAAACACAAGTGCAAAACGACAGAAAGACGAAAGAAAAACGAAAGTTAAACGAACGAAAATGTTACAGTGAAAATAGGGGAAATAACGATGAAAATGAATGAAAATGTCATAGTCATGAAGGTGAGAACCTAAAGAAAACACGAAAAGGAGTAAACCGGGTCAGTGCAACTGAAACACAAAAAGGAAATAAATAGTAGTCGACAAATAAACATTACACAAACGAACACAAAAACAGCAGGCGAACCCAAAAAGAGGAACGAAAGATGCACGAAAGGGTCTTTGGCCACAGCCCACATGCCACATCTCTCTCTCTTTCTCTCTCTCTCTCTCTCTCTCTCTCTCTCTCTCTCTCTCTCTCTCTCTCTCTCTCTCTCTCTCATCTCTCTCTCCAAAATATTCCTAGACATTCATGAATTCCTAAACGAAGGATCATGTGAATTCATAGAAATTTGTAAGACTTCCTTAAAATTAGGAAAAGAAAATATAACTCCCGTGTTCAAATCCCGATCCAAAGTCTTTCGGCGGATTGGGAAATCGACATCACAGGCGGGCGTGAAAAAAATACAAAAAACGATTAAAAAAAAAAAAAAAAAAAAACACTACAAAAATCTCACCCTTCCCGACGGTAGTAGCTGCAAACTTGCAGAAATTCCAAGTGCTTCGAAAAAACAATGTAAAAATTCTAAAATCCGTAAACGAAGAATCATGTAAAATCGTAGAAATTCACAAAACGTTATAAAATTTAAGGGAAATTATAAAAAGAACATATTTTTATAGGAGGAGAAACATGAGGGCTCTATTTCGCCCTCTCGCGCCGTCCTCTCTCTCTCTCTCTCTCTCTCACACACACACACACACACACACAATACAAAAAGGAGCAACAAGAGCTTCGCGAAAAAGAAAAAAAAAACATTGTAGTAAAGAAAGGAGAAGAACAAAACCCTAAAACCCTAAACCGATTTAGGGTTCCATGTCTCAAAAAAACCGAACTCAACTTTACGCAAAATATCTATGGATTGCTTTTTTGCATCTTTTGCAAGAGAAGAACAAAACCCTAAGACCCGAAACCAATTTAGGGTTCCATGTCTCTCTCTCTCTCTCTCTCTCTCTCTCTCTCTCTCTCTCTCTCTCTCTCTCTCTCTCTCTCTCTCTCCCGAAAACGAGCGAATCGGCTCAGCCGCACTGAAATAGAAGAAAGGAACAAAAACGAAAGAAAAACAAGAGAAAAAGCCAACCAATACACAAGAAAAAAAGAGTGAAAAACAAAAGAAGAACGAAATCAAAACGAGCCAATATGTCATAATCGAAAATAGAAGAAAAAAAAAAAGGAATAAAACGACAGAAAATGGCATAGTGAAAAAGGGGAAAAAACTAAACAGAACGTCAAAACGAGAAAATCGGTGTAGTCGCACTCAAACAGTGCACACGAAATAAAAACGAACCAAATATATTGAAAATAGAAAAAGAAAACGAAATAAAAAGGAACCAAATATAGTGAAAAGAAGCAGAGCTCGACCTTGGAGAAGCAACACCCACACTCACACACACTGTTATACAACCACAAACACAGACACGCACACACATGCACACACACACACAGAAACAGACGTACCCTGCGTAATTTGCATCCGTCGTTGTCTGTCAGTCGTGTTTGTCCGTCGTAATAGTGAACCAAAAAAAGTCATATGGTGGTCTCTTCGCAAAACGAAGGCGTTTTTCGAAAAAACGTCCGTACAAGTCAATTCGTACGTTAGAAAAAGCAAAACGTCCGTACCCCGAAATATATAAAAACTCTTCGCAAAACGAAGGCGTTTTTCGAAAAAACGTTCGTACAAGTCAATTCGTACATTAGAAAAAACAAAACATCGGTACAAGTCAATTCGTCTGAAAATCCACAACTACAAATGTGGAATATGAAACTCCCATAACCAACGACAGCACCTGGAAATTCCGGAACCGCAGAGGCCTTTTTCATTAAAAAAAAACGTAGAAAAAAGAGGAAAATCCAAACTCGAAAATTTCTAGAAATTCAAGGGAATTACAACGAATCTGTGGTCTGTGGTTAAATTTTTGAAATTTAACCACATTTGAATATTCACAGCAAAACAGGGAAAAAGCAAGTGAAAAGCAAAAACAAGACCGCATCGCTAGAAGGTTCTTGCGGTTAGTGAAGGAGGGAGAAATGCAAAAAAGACGTGAACACGTGCACTTCAAACGGTCGCAAAGAATCAATAAAAGCGAATAGGAGTGAAATGCACGTTTTCGAGCACGAAATACAACGGCATGCCTTCTTCCTTCTCCTCCCTACACTCCTCCTGGCCC